AATGGACGTAAAAAGCTAATTACCGAATGTCCACCGCGTCTGGCATGGCGGGGGCCTGCTCAACATGGTGGGGAAAAAGGGAGGGGGGTTGGTGGTGGCAGGGTTGTAAATAGATTGATATGGATACGGGTGCGATGATGAAGGGAAGAGGGGGGGGGGGTACTTTATTAAAATATTAGTATGAAATGATTGGTGCAAATTGATTGAGAGTAGAATGAAGGCGGTTTCGCACGGACGGCGGATTTCCATCGATTCCACTCGTTTGCGTCGCGTTGCGCTGTTGCGCATGCGCGAAGATGAAATATTTAATGTTGCCGCATGGTTTGCTAAAACTATAACTATTTTCCTCTACGTCACGCATTATAGTTCTATGAGAAATCCTTGCACGAGACTAGGAGTCCATGGCTACTCCCTTTGTGACACTTGGATCCGTAAATACACATGATATTTTCAGTCGAGAATAATTGTCTGAAATATGTCCGTATGTCGTCGTTTTTAAGGCCAAAGAACCTTATCACATTTCAATGTGGCACGTCAGAGTATCTACTAAAATAAACTGGCCAAAAATAAGTACTTATACAGTGCTTTTTCAGTACCTCCATTTAAGGAAATTCGAAAAATTTCAAAAATTTGAATTTCTCGCTCAAATCAAGACAAAAATGACAAAAAAATTAAAAAGAATCCGCACCTTCTTCTGGAATTTCCGCACTTCTTCAGTTTTTCCGGACCGCCCTTAAAAAGTCAGTACTATTTACGAACTTTCCGGAAATTCCGGACTTGTAGACACCTTGCACGTGATCCACGCGTAAATTGTATTTTTACATTCGATGTCAAACTCACGGTCAAAGATTTTCTCGTAAAGGCGAGTGCGAAAATGGGTCTGACGTTTCGTCGTGCTAAAGTAAGGGAAAACGCCGTATGAACATTAAAATTCTGCTAATTTTCCGGATTAAAAATTTTTCGGACGAAATTTTTCCATGTTTTTCCTTGGAATGTTCAAGGAGTAACAACACTGAATGTCTGAAAAATTGGAAACAAAATATAGACAACGTTTTCGATTAATTCGTATTTCATCCGGGGAAATCTAGCAACTCCGTGCGAGCATGTATTTTGGAACAAGGTATGTATTTTTGAGGAGTATTAAGCATATTTTTCCTTGAAATTTTCACATATTTTAGATTAAATTGCGAACAGAGTTGTCGAAAAAAAATTTAAGCAAAATATTTAGAATTTTCCAGTATATTTGTTTTATACCGGGGGGAATATGGCAACGCTTGAAGGCTCGTACGGCATTTTTCCTTGGCATGGCAGAGTACACTTCAAAATTAAACTAGAAATATTTCCCTCTCCCTCAGCATCTCTCCCTGCCACACAGTGGATCGAGCAGTGGCGTGGCGTGCTCTGCGATATATAGATCGATCTATCATTTAAACTTATGGAAAAAGATCGATAGACAGGGTGTTCGCAACGAACATCTTAATAATCGATTCTTTACCATAGCTTCAAATGGGGAAATATCGATACATCGCAAAGCACGCCACGCCACTGGGATCGAGTCAATTGGCGAGGTCGGACATGAAATTTTTGCCAAAATTGCGAATTTTGATGTTCATTTCGTCACATTTGAGAGTTCAAGGGGTGCTAATGACAGGAAACTTCACGAGGAAATCAATGGAGCCACTTTTAGAACCTCAAAGTTTTATATAAACGGAGCTATAAGCGATTACGTAGCATGGTGTCAACGATCATGGTGTCAACAAACAGTTTTTCTAAGTTTTTGTTGACACCATGATCATCCAAAAATAAAAAATTCTGACCCTTATGAAAAATGATCACGGTGTCAACGATCACGACGTCAACGAAACTTAAAACTTGCCCCAATAACACCTTTTAAATCTCAAGTCTTGTTTTTCCTGTGTTATTTACTCTAACCTAACCTAACCTAACCTAACCTAACCTTACCTAACCTGACCTAAACTAACCTAATCCAACTATATGTGACCCAGACCTCTCCTGTACACTTAATTTTTTAATTTTACTCACAAGGAAGATATTTTTCTGTTTGTTGACACCGTGATCGTTGACACCATGCTCAGGGCCCATTTTTGCGTTTTACTGCCTGATCGCGACGTCAACAATCGTTGATTCCATGATCAGATTTTTGGTTTGTTGACACCATGATCGTTGCCACCATGCAACGTTACCCTATAAGCGTTTAAAATTTCCAAATTTTGTCCGACTCGATCCACTGAGCGCCGTCGAGGTCCTCGCAGGACCACGTTGTGCGGAGCTTGCAGATTACATCGCGGTGAAAAATGATGATGACGACGACGGGCGATGATGATGGAGATGAAGATGCAACGATGATGATGAGATGACTGATGCAACTCCGAAACGCGTCGCATCGATAGGAGCGAGACTCACCTTCCATTCCATTCCACTCCAACGGGAGTCCATACTCGGTAATCAAGTTTTCAGATAATTCCGCCCATTAGCAGGCCGACTGGACTTTAATCGTCCATAAAGAACCACCCGCCTCCCCGCACCGCCCATGCCAGCTCCGCGGCCATTGGTGACGGCCAAGTCGAGATCGAGAGCCCGACGTTGTCATATTTCCGATTTTTGTTCCATTTATCCAGAAACCAGCACACCTGGAATGTCGAGTCCCTTTACACTGAGAGACAAGACAATGTGAATCCATTTCTGATTGGTTCCCGTATTTCAGGCCTTCACAGTGTCACAAACGGGAATAAAGATTATATTTTCACCGATCGCAAAGATTACAATCTGGAATGGACCAGGGAATTACGGGTTCGGCAAGGAACAAACGGAATGAGAGAAGCAACAAACGGAATAAGAGAAGGAACGGAGAGAGGAATTTGAGAATGGGCCGATCAAAGATTACAAAAAAAGTTATATTTCTGTAATCTTTATTCCCGTTTGTGACTCCACGAGGGGGTGTTGTCTTGACTCTCAGTATAAAGGGACTCTACTGGAATGTTGCTCATGGAAATTGGGTGCCTATATATGTATGGAGAGACGGTATGTTGGAATTTGTTAGCCAACGTGGGTCAAAAATCAGCATAAAGCTGAAAATCTCAATACAAAGGAAAAAAGGCTCATATGAGCACAATTTTCCCTCAAAGAGATACACTCATCACGATCAGTTGGACTTCATTTTGCGATATTAGGAGCTATAATTTCTGGCTCATCCGAAAAAACACTTACGTGCATAAGGAAACTAATGGTTCATACGTTGTTTTTATACTGAGCCAGAATTTATAGTTCCTAATTGCAAAATTTGGACCAGTTTGTGTATATGGAAAGAGAACGGACATGTCGGTAATTTTAAGGTTAACGGAACTCTTGCGGCCCAGAGATGGAAAATTCTATCAAATTTTATGGAATTTTTTGAAACATTTGGGAATGCATCCAGGTGGCCGAGAAACAGTGATTCTCGGTTTTGATATTTTTCATCCCAAGCCTAAAACACTTGCACGTTTCTAATGTTATCGTTTGATTTGGTGGTTAGGTTGGGGGTAAATTCCTCTCTAAACTCCTCTTTGCTCCCGCCTTTGTAGCAACTCATTGGGGTAGCGTGTAATGGCGCGTCGACAGGAAGACCATCTGAAACGCATTCCGGACTTCCGAAAGTTCAATTAAAATTCCGGAAAAAATTGACAAATTTTAATTTTGGTGGAATTTATTGGAGCCTTTTGAAATTCCATAGAATTTCAATATCAACAGACATCTTAACCTTGTCAAAATTGTCAAAAGGGTGGGAAATATGAAAATCCACGATAGACGATTCCATAAAAAACATGATACAGAAATTTCAAGTAAGTTTAAGGCTGCTTTAAGGAGAATTTCGCAACATCTAACTGAACTTAACGAGGCACTTATGTTTTGAGTGACATATTTACTGAGTTTTCCGCGAGTCCTTCCCCACTCCCTGTAAGTGGTAATCCCTAAAAGTTAACAGGCACACCTATGAAAAAAACGCGCACTATTTTATTATGCTGATGTTAAAACATGTCACCGTATTACAAATTAGGTGTTCCCATGGCTTTATAATCGGGATTTACGTCATGAAATCCTTGTTAACTATAACAGTCAATGAAACTATTTTTAAATTAGTACGGTGATTTTTTTTTCAATCTGTATCATTAGATGACTCCTAACCGCTGCTCTGTACGTCGTATGAGCATTCGAATGTTGCCAAATTTCCTCTCGGATAATACTTATTTTTGAAGAAAGTTATAATCCTCTGAGAAGTCGACAGATAAATATGCATAGTTTCCTGAAAATTCGTGACTTTTCGGGGAAAATTTGGCAACGCCTGGTGGTCCATACGGAGTTTTTCCGTAGCACAGAAGAACTGCCATAGGTGTTTCCGCTCGAATCAATATCAATATCGGGGAGATAACTCACGAAAACTTTAACCGACCGTTTACTGTCACAGAGCTCACAAAATCAGTAATAATTTTTAAAAATCCAACACCATGTAAGAGAGACAACGAAACGAAAAGTTCAATAAAAATAAATTAAAAATTTTATCTAAACTCTTGAATTTTTGTCAAAATAAATATCATTTTCCAAAGTATAGGTGTCCACTCACAAGCCTACCCATTCAAATTTCTCATTTTTCCTAGAAATCAATGCCAATTACAGGCAATATCAATAAAAAAATGTTGCAGTTCTGAGTAAATTCACAGCACTCTCTTTTTATCTCTAAATCAGCACTAATTTTACCAAATAAATAATATTTTATAAAAAACCTGTTGGAACGAAAAGCTCAATTATCGCTGAATGCAGTTAAATTTTTTAGAAATTACGGTAACAAATCCACATTTGGGACACTTATTCTACCTCTTCAACTCGTCCCACGAATCAATAACAATTTCGAGGAAATATTAATCAAGAACTTGAGAGTAAGGGTGCCCGTTGAGGACACTCGTCTCATCACTATTAAAACGTGTCAAATAAATAAAAGGCAAAAGGAAAATATCATAATATTATATATCTTTTAGTCGCACTTCACTTTTTTCACTTTTACATTTCAGTCACCTCGAGTAGGCATCTCTTTCTTCTTTCAATGCAGAACTTTCAGCAAGATGGTCCATACCGTACCGCCTTAATAAAGGAGTAAGTGCTTGGCTTGAGGACTTGAGGAAAGTTAGTTTACCGTAAGCATTCGCCCTGTCATACCATACATAATGACGAATGTATTCGCATAAATCGGCATGTGCTTGCGCGATGCAGTAGGCAAATTGCTTCAATGTCTCTTTATCACCGGTTCCATTTGTGACATCTTCAACCAAGTAACTAAAGAAAGCAAGGCGATCAGGATTTAGAAGGAATTTATACCATTCCGCCGTCCGCTTCCTCTTGATCGCTCGTTTCTCTCGTCTTTGTCGCGCTGTTCCAAAGAATCTCTCTAAACTTAGTATCTTCGCGTCTTCCGGGTTCAGTTTCCTCCAGTTATTCTCAATCTCCCTCGCGGCTTCGATGTCTTGCTGAGGAATCGCTCCCTTTCTATATTTTTTCTCTGTGTACTCAATAGCATCGCGCGCTCGAACCCTTGCCATGACTCTTTCATAACGGGTCTGTGAACAATTGTGAAAAATTGAAATGAAATAAGTGATACATTTCTAGACGTTTGACAAATAGTAATATGTTGATATCGTCACCTTCCGGGCAAAGTATCACAAGCGCCATGCGACGTTTAAAAGTTTCCGCCACCATTTTATTTTGTTACAGAGAAATGTTACGTTGAATTTGTTTAAATATTTCACTGAATTTAATTGGCAGCCCAGAGAAAATTCAGTGAAATTTTTAGACAGCTTCGTTGAACAACTTCTCTGTAAAAAAATAAAATGGCGGCGGAAATTTTTAAACGTCGCATGGCGCTTGTGATACTTTGCCCGGAAGGCGGCGATGTTTGACGAGGGAAGTGTTGATGTGCCAAAAATATAAATCGGACGTGTTTCTACCAAATAGACCTATGTGAAGGTGAGAAATATGGCGTTTGCTCGTTAGTTCTCTGACCGTAAGAGTGAATGAGAATAATAAAGCGCCAGTGACGTCAGCGGCAACGAACGAGGGTAAGCTCGAGGGCGCGGCAGCGGGGAAGTCGTCGTCGGGGCACTTTAACTCATGAGCCCTGTCTACAACGCTCTCTTGCCATGCCCGCGGCTCATGAGTTCCGCATTCAGTTGGCTCATAGGTCTGTTTGATAGAATGTAAAATCCCGCTTTTCCAATTCTTCAAAAGGAATCACGCCCACTTTTACATTGCTTCTTATGCAGCTTCGACGAGCACACCCCAAATTTCCCGCCTCCACATAGGTCTGTTTGGTAGAAATACGTCCAATTTCAAACGTAAGGCTGGCATCAGAATTTGGCATCAGAAGTTTTCACTGTTTTCAGTTAATTTAAAGGTCGAAATGAACGTTCCCGAAGATGTTCTTTGATAAATCGCGGTTGTGCGTTTAATTATACCACGGAAAATCACCTCTGCTAATATAATGCACAGAAGAAAGAAAGATTAAACCCACATGTCTCACTATTACGATCAAAGTCTACTTAGCTTGTCAAGACTCAAGATTCACTGACACAAAACTTAACTCAGGGCAACCAGAAAAATAGACTAGTGTTTACACCCTGCGCACTAAGACGTTAACGTTACATCGCATATACGTGATTAACGATACCGTGGTACGTTGCAAGGGCGTTATAAACTTAACTGAACGTTACGTTACTCAAGCGAAATAAAAAATCGTTAAACATCCAAAAATGAAAACCTTAAAATGTTAACTGATTGCCAGCACCATCACGTATCTTATTACATTCTCTCGCTTTATCGTCTGGTAATGTTGTGATAGCGTCCCTCTCGTAACGTCATAGCAACATCGCTCAATCATATGTCGCAGAAACGTCCTTCTAACGTTGGCAAATACGTTCATACGACGGTGTATCGATAAGGTTACGTTTAACTCATCGAAAATCACGTTGTTCCACCGATGTAGATTGTTACGTGACGTTCATACGTAACCGTAGTAAAATAAAATGGGCCTGTTGCAAACTTTTGCTAGAGCAAAAATAAGAGTTGTTTCTTATAGATAATGCCTTAAAAATCACGATGAGCGCATCGGCAAAGTCTGAAATGCACTCATAACTTCACAATCTGCGTAAGAAATTTGCGTTTTTTTAAGCTTCCCGCTTCAAAAACGATACTACGGCACAGGTGAACATTTTGTTAGAGGAGTCGCTCCATCGTCGGCGATATTCATCATGGCCGACGCTTGCTTGCAGTTCCGCGCGTAATTCGAGGAGAGTTCAAGGTCAATCAATTCGGGCGTGGAAAATATGAACGCTAACACGCCGATTGTTATCTGGTCTAATCCAGTTCAGGTGTTATCTCGTCCCATCACACGTGTTTTGGCGGATTAGCGTCGGCCATGGTGAGTATTGCCGACGATGGAACGACTCCTCTTACAAAATGTTCACCTGTGCCGTAGTATCGTTTTTGAAGCGGGAAGCTCAAAGAACCGCAAATTTCTTACGCAGACTGTGAAGTTATGAGTGCATTTCAGACTTTGCCGATGCGCTCATCGTGATTTTAGAGGCATTGTCGCGTATACCGCAACGCGTTTTTTCATAGAGATTCTCTATCTCCCTTTCTCCCATATTTTCGGTCTCTCTCTATGAATTTTCAGAACCCAGCTTCGAGCAAGCTTCACTTACTCGTTGCTGTGATCAGTCGTACGCATCTATCTTTATCTTGTTTTTTTGATCGCCAGCGTCACGAGATGGATTGAAAGATAAGACTCTCGCGGGCCAGAGCTCCACGTTGGACGGAGGAGGCTCGGGACGGCACTTCGATTTCCACCACGAAGCCAATCTGTATATTCCAACTGCACAGCCTTCCTTAGTGCTCCTAGTATCTGTCACCTTTGTAACGATTTCATTTTCATAATACACGCGAATACATACCCGCTACGCATCCGTACCCGCTAAAACATCTCTTCGTATTTTGTTCCGCTCTCCCACGAACTCGCCGCGTCAAAGATTTATTTAGATTTCTCAGTCGGACTAAAACATGAGAGATCCGATTGACGTGACATGGTGCCGAAACCCTCTAATTGACTTTTCAGCTCAATTCGAACCGTTCGCTTTCCGTTATCATTGCGTGGTATTTTTGCGTGGAATACAAGTGACTAGAATCGACGGAATTCGTTACTCATAATTCGACTAATAATTGGAACAATTTTCTATTTTTTATTCTTCTGCGATATCTACACGGATATCCCACCGCACGGGTCAAGAGCATACCCCACCGCACGGGTCGAGAGCATACCCCATCGTACGAATACTTAAACGTATTCCAACGTTTCCACTTTGGGTCAATTCTGCGCACAGTCCAGGCTACACTCCATTTTTGGGCACATAGGCATCTTTAATCACTCAGGTTGTACCTTTCTGAGTTACAAATTCCAGTGTGCAAATAACTTCTTTCTTAGTGATTTATCTCTTGTTTTTTTTCTTTTTTTCCTTAAAATGTAATGTCTGATTTGAGCGAGTCAGACAACTCCATTGATACAACCGTAATTCCGTCTGCGGCTCCCCACACCTCTTCTACCCCAATTAAACTAAACGTGGTAGGGGAAGACCCAAGAAAAACACCTCAAAAAACCCCCGCTCTTTTAGTGTCCCTCCCCATAACTTTTCAAATCTCACCTCTTCACCCCCCCTTTCTGTAGCAAACATGGCCTCTGAAACTTTCAACCCAGAAGTTGTAACTTCGACAATTGAGAATGCGTTAAAAACACCCCTCATCCACCCTCTAAAGTTCTCAGGTTCAGAAGACGTCAAAGATTTTTTAGACTCAATAGACACAGCATGTTCAATTAATTCGTGGAAGCCGGATGTGATTCCATATACATAGGCTGTCCCAAAACAACTGGCACTAATGCTGTCATTCGGAAACTACAATAGATATCGACATGCGGTTTGCGGGAGGTGATAGCTCATACTCTTAGCTCTTAAACGAGCCTAAGTTGAGCTAGTTTGGTTAAAAACTCAACGAGTTACATCAATTTTCCCGAGACGTGTAAGAAATACCCCTACGGAATTTTTCGGTAATTTTTCATTCCGTTAACTTTGCCTCCGCAAGCTGTGCAATTGGTTCAGTCGTTATGAATGAAGTTTCCACTTGTCTGGATGTAAGTTTGACTTGTCAGCAAGTGTTTCCATCACAGCCGAGAAGTTTTTTTCTGTTTGCAAAGTCAGTTTAGTGAAATTGTCCGGCCTGGTAACGCGTATTTTTGTGTTTCGTCATGAGTTCACCCACGGAGTTGAAGCAAGAGCAACGATATGCAATTCCATATTGCGTTCGTCGTGAATTATCTGCTTCTAAAACACTTCTGAGCCACTGTCATTTCATTCACAGTTTCAGAAGCAGATAATTCACGACGAACGCAATATGGAATTGCATATCGTTGCTCTTGCTTCAACTCCGTGGGTGAACTCATGACGAAACACAAAAATACGCGTTACCAGGCCGGACAATTTCACTAAACTGACTTTGCAAACAGAAAAAAACTTCTCGGCTGTGATGGAAACACTTGCTGACAAGTCAAACTTACATCCAGACAAGTGGAAACTTCATTCATAACGACTGAACCAATTGCACATCTTGCGGAGGCAAAGTTAACGGAATGAAAAATTACCGAAAAATTCCGTAGGGGTATTTCTTACACGTCTCGGGAAAATTGATGTAACTCGTTGAGTTTTTAACCAAACTAGCTCAACTTAGGCTCGTTTAAGAGCTAAGAGTATGAGCTATCACCTCCCGCAAACCGCATGTCGATATCTATTGTAGTTTCCGAATGACAGCCTTAGTGCCAGTTGTTTTGGGACAGCCTATGTATAATAGAGAAATATCTTAGTTCAGAAGCTCTCTCCTTTTTTAAATTGTTGCGCGCGAAATTTCAAAAACTAGATTACAAAACCTTCAAGAATAGCTTTCTTGCCCAATTTAAAGATAAAGACCGACAAAATAAACTTGAATTGCAATTAAGAAATTTAAAATTGTCTGATCCCACGAAACTTCTAGATCATGTTTTCAAAGTTAAGGCATTATGTGCCAAGCTTTCCCCGACCCCATCAGGTTCCAAAGTAATTTTTTATATTACACGGAAAAAACGAGCTTAGGGTTGGGACCTACATGTTACTGCTGGGCACTAACGAGGGTTAGGTCAAATGGAGCCAGCAAGTCAGAGGAGTGCTGGGCACTAAACAGCTCGAGGCTGGGTCACTAAGGAAGAAGTAGTGTCAAGCCCTAAAGTGACTTTGGAGCGAGCGTAAAATATGAAACGCCTCCGCCTGGGATCGAACTCGGGTTGCGCCGGTGGAAGACCAGCGCATTACCACCAGGCTATCGTGGCTCGGACGTCTCATGGGTGAATTTACACCTGTTAAGCGCAACTACGTCTCGCGGCATCTGATTAGCACTACTCATGTTCAGTGCCCACCTGTACTGCCTTCCGGCGTTGAGCTGTACAGCGCTTAGACGCCAGCCCTCAACTACTCCCCACTAAACGGCCAGTAGTGCTCAACACTAGTCTTGTTTTTTCCGTGTATGTCTTCATTACCTCATGATATTGCACAAACATTTTCTTTGTATCCGCATAATACGATGGACGAATTTGATAGATCGCTGAAATTATTCTTAGCGCGAGATTCTCTCCTCAGCCTTTCTACGCAATCTGCTCCTAACCCTCCATCAGCCCCTCAAAGTTTGTCCGTTGAGAGTCAACAAAACAAAAAATTTAGGCCGAAATCTAAGAAATTTTTCGAAAAAAATCAGGAAAATAGACCTCCTCCCCCGTCTAACAAGGGGAATTTCCCAAGCAAGTACGTAACTATTACATACTTATCTAATGAAAAAATTCATGTTTCCCGTTTGAAACCTCACAGTTGTAGTCAGTCTCCACTCGTTGATTCCGTTCCACGAAATAGTGACATCCAAATCAACGATAAAACCGTCATTAATAGGCCAATAACTCGCGCCTTCGCAAAAGAGACCTCTGTTTAATTTTTCTTGTCATATCACATCTAATTCATTCATTTCCTGCCAGGCGGCATGCTTTGGAAAATGAACACAGATTTCGGAAAAACTAGACCTGCCTTTCATTCTAGTTGATAGGGTGTCAATTTTCAATTAACGGACCTAGTGGTCTAAAATGTTTATTCCGAACATGAAAGTTTTTCTCTCATTACTTGCCTTTACCATGAATTGACATACTATTTCCTATCGCCTTTCTCATTTTTCCATACATTCACACCTTGTGAATATTCAGTCTCATTCATGCTGAAGCATAGCTCGTTGATATACCTACAGTACGGTCAACTTACGTTTTTGATAACCAACCTGCTCCGTTGATTATTATATTCTTGTATGTACATTTTTCCGAATACATCCTACCCATAGTTTCTTTTTTCTTATGTTTCAGTTACGATGTATTATACTATTGTAATCGGCATACTTACGCTCCATACTCACGCACCCTTTGAGATGAAATCGACAATCGACAAATCCTGGATACTACGGACTTTTCTCCGATGATTTTAAATAATTTTCTGTACAGTTGAATCTTTCAATCCTACCTGACTGATCACTAGGCCCCAAATTTTTTTTTTATGTCCCTACCTTTCTTACCTTTCTTTATTTTATTTTTTGTACTTTTTTTTTCCCTGCATTCACCTTCCATGTTGAAATCGCAAAAGCGATTTCTCATCGGCGAGGGGGATGTCGCGTATACCGCAACGCGTTTTCCATAGAGATTCTCTATCTCCCTTTCTCCCATATTTTCGGTCTCTCTCTATGAATTTTCAGAACCCAGCTTCGAGCAAGCCTCACTTACTCGTTGCTGTGATCAGTCGTACGCATCGCAAATGAACTAGCGTCTAACTAAAATTTAAAATTGCTATAATAAGTTATTAACTTTGATAAAAATAATTAAGTAATACCAACAAGTTAAACTATAAATTAAATTATTAAATTTTAAATAATTAAAATTTATTTGATGATAGATTGTTTTTTTGATCGCCAGCGTCACGAGATGGATTGAAAGATAAGACTCTCGCGGGCCAGAGCTCCACGTTGGACGGAGGAGGCTCAGGACGGCAGGCACTTCGATTTCCACCACGAAGCCAATCTGTATATTCCAACTGCACAGCCTTCCTTAGTGCTCCTAGTATCTGTCACCTTTGTAACGATTTCATTTTCATAATACACGCGAATACATACGTACCCGCTAAAACATCTCTTCGTATTTTGTTCCGCTCTCCCACGAACTCGCCGCGTCAAAGATTTATTTAGATTTCTCAGTCGGACTAAAACATGAGAGATCCGATTGACGTGACAGGCATTAACTATAAGAAACAACTCTTATTTTTACTCTAGCAAAAGTTTGCAACAGGCCCATTATCAAGATTCGTCTTTGAAAACGTAACATGTAATATCTGTTGAGCAATCTCATTCTAGGAAAAAATTAGGTGCCATGAGCACGAAAAACTGGATAAATAACTTAAAAATGTGTTGAATAAAAATACAAAAATGAGAGAAATATCGCGAAAGCAGCTAGGTATTCGTGGTTGGAGGGACGCCTTATAAATAAATTCGAGATGTGTTTATTTGCAGAAAAGATTCTTGTTGTGTTCGTCAGAACAGCCATCTTTGAACTTTTTGAACGAGATTATGAACTCGTGAATTTGCCTAAAATTCATTCCTTTTAAAAACTGTAATCGGTGGAAAGATATGAAAATTATTACTCACGTTAGATATTCTAAGAATCGCATTTTCCTCTGTCAAATTGTAAATCCTATCTCTTTCTTCGTCAAGTCTCTGTTCTAGGAACTCGGTTTTTATTTTTGCTGTATTTAGATGTAGTTCCTGGACTTCTTTTGTTCTGGCCGTTGTATTTCGATCGTCACCCGAATCTAATAAAAGTGGATTTTTTGCTTGCGTTTGATGCACCTACAAAAAGTGTTTAATTATTTGGTATTTTATCAGTTTAAACCAATGTAATCTATTAATTTAACTCTTTTCACGAGGTAGAACATAGTTTTAGGATACAATTTTTGAGTGATTGCAGGTGGCTAAAAGTTCAATTTTATTGCTATTTTCGAACAGGATTTTTTTAAAAAAGATAAAAATGAGAGTCTAAAATACTGTTATGACAGAAAAATATTACTTCATCACTTTTACTAAGTACATGGTTTATTACCAGTAACAGTTACTTTACATATGTATTTCAATTGCTAAAAAAAAAAGAAAAAAAAGGAGAGGACAGTAAGTACCATCCTCAGAAAAAGGAGATGATCCTTCATCAAAAACTGGCCTTCTTCCATCTAAAAAATTCTTCCAAAATGGAGAAAAAAATGTTTATACTGAAAAGAATTCTTGAAATTAATATGAATTTTTTTCAACAAATTAAAACATTTAATATTGAATGATTACTCCCGTTTAGTATGAACAAAAAAAATTGAAGTTTAAGTATTTACAGGTATAATAATATCTACATTTTATGGTCTCCACATTATACTGAACTAATGATGATGATCATCCTTGTAGAATCGAAGCCCACAGTATCCGCAAGTATGATTTCCTGGCTTATCCAAATTGATGTAGACTTTAGGGTGTCCTAGTGGTCCACCACCGCCATTGCAAGAAACAATCCTGTCTGGTTTAGGTTCTGGAGGAACATTGTGGATGAGTTCGATGGCAGGTGAAGGATTGATATGTTTTATTCCTTGAACGAATCGGGCCATTCGGTAATCATTTTTGTCATATTTCTGTCCGGTGTGAGTGGGTAAGTCCTCTGGAAGTGTTCGGGCATCACTTGAAGCACATCTTGACACAAATATTGGAGCTTTTTTGACACTAAATTGTTTACAAATTTCTTTACGCAAAACTGATAACGCCATTTTAGCAGTGATTACTGGACTGTGATCGAAATTAATATGAATTATGAAATTGTAAAAAATTTACAGAGCTTCACTGTTAAAAATCAACGATTTACTCTGAGTGAATACTTGGCGTGAAAAAAAATCCAGCGCGAATTTCGCGCCGTACTCTGAGTGAGTAGATCAGAGCGTGAATATCACCAACGACGGACGAATTAGTTGAGGTACCTCGAGTAGCGTGAATTCAGGACGTCCTGGTACGAGCACCGAATGGCAAAGTGGTAGCGCACTCGTCTCTCACCACCGCGACTCGAGTTCAAATCCATGCTGCAGCAGTTCCGCTTTACGTTTGCCTGTCAGATTTTCACTCCCGCCAGAGCACGAAATTCGTGCCGAGCTTATTTCGCGCTGGATCCATGCACTCAGAGTAATAACAGGTGGTCAAAATAGCAACTGAGTAAGCGTGAATTTCGCGCCGGGATTTTTAAGAGTGTAGAAATGTTAACTTGGAGTGCATTTTTTGACTTGTATTAAGTTTACTTTAACGCATGGTTCATGCACCAAATGATTTATTGATGATATGATATGATTTATATGATTAAATGATTTATTTAGATTTCTCAGTCGGACTAAAACATGAGAGATCCGATTGACGTGACAGGCATTAACTATAAGAAACAACTCTTATTTTTACTCTAGCAAAAGTTTGCAACAGGCCCATTATCAAGATTCGTCTTTGAAAACGTAACATGTAATATCTGTTGAGCAATCTCATTCTAGGAAAAAATTAGGTGCCATGAGCACGAAAAACTGGATAAATAACTTAAAAATGTGTTGAATAAAAATACAAAAATGAGAGAAATATCGCGAAAGCAGCTAGGTATTCGTGGTTGGAGGGACGCCTTATAAATAAATTCGAGATGTGTTTATTTGCAGAAAAGATTCTTGTTGTGTTCGTCAGAACAGCCATCTTTGAACTTTTTGGACGAGATTATGAACTCGTGAATTTGCCTAAAATTCATTCCTTTTAAAAACTGTAATCGGTGGAAAGATATGAAAAATATTACTCACGTTACCCATTCTAAGAATCGCATTTTCCTTTGTCAAATTGTAAATCCTATCTCTTTCTTCGTCAAGTTTCTGTTCTAGGAACTTGGTTGTTATTTTTGCTGTAATTAGATGTAGTTCCTGGACTTCTTTTGTTCTGGCCGTTGTATTTCGATCGTCACCCGAATCCAATAAAAGTGGATTTTTTGCTTGCGTTTGATGCACCTACAAAAAATGTTTAATTATTTGGTATTTTATCAGTTTAAACCAATGTAATCTATTAATTTAGCTCTTTTCACGAGGTAGAACACAGTTTTATGATATAATTTTTGAGTGATTTCAGGTGGCTAAAAGTTCAATTTTATTGCTATTTTCGAACAGGATTTTTTTTAAAAAAGATAAAAATGAGAGTCTAAAATACTGTTATGACAGAAAAATATTACTTCATCACTTTTACTAAGTACATGGTTTATTACCAGTAACAGTTACTTTACATATTTAAATTGCTGAAAAAAAAAGGAAAAAAAGGAGAGGACAGTAAGTACCATCCTCAGAAAAAGGAGATGATCCTTCATCAAAAACTGGCCTTCTTCCATCTAAAAAATTCTTCCATCATGGAGAAAAAAATGTTCATACTGAAAAGAATTCTTGAAATTAATATGAATTATGAAATTGTAAAAAAATTACAGAGCTTCACTGTTAAAAATCAACGATTTACTCTGAGTGAATACTTGGCGTGAAAAAAAATCGAGCGCGAATTTCGCGCCGTACTCTGAGTGAATAGATCAGAGCGTAAATATCACCAACGACGGACGAATTAGTTGAGGTACCTCGAGTAGCGTGAATTCAGGACTTCCTGGTGCGAGCACCGAATGACAAAGTGGTAGCGCACTCGTCTCTCACCACCGCGACTCGGGTTCAAATCCATGCTGCAGCAGTTCCGTTTTACGTTTACCTGTCAGATTTCCACTCCCGCCAGAGCGCGAAATTCGTGCCGAGCTTATTTCGCGCTGGATCCATGCACTCAGAGTAATAACAGGTGGTCAAAATAGCAACTGAGTAAGCGTGAATTTCGCGCCGGGATTTTTAACAGTGTAGAAATGTTAACTTGGAGTGCGTTTTTTGACTTAAATTAAGTTTACTTTAACGCATGGTTCATGCACAAAATGCAAAAATAAATAAATTATCAGTATTGTACTTACATTTTCATCGTGTGCTTCGAATGGAGCCACAAATGCTCCAACTTGAGCGATTAAATATAGCACGAAAATACAGGCGCACAGCTTCATTGCGTCGTCAACAGCTGAAGATCGTGTTCGAGCCTCGCACAAAAATCTCTCTTCCATATCTGGCAGTGATTCACTGTGCTCTTGAAATTTTCTTCGTCCTCTTTTTATCAGGCAGCCACGAGCAACAACTCGGACAGATAAGACTCGTTTTGGTTCAAGATAAGAGTCATTTCTCCTAGTCAAATGTTGATTGTCCTGAGTCAATTACGCAACGAGAGGGAACAGATAATAATCAATCAAGGACGAAAGTAAATCTCCGGAGCGCAGAAAAGCCAAGGTCGTAAAATTCACTCTTTTCGATAAGTCGCCGAAACCGTGGTCGGGGTGGACTCAGTTCCGGGGGTAGGTCATTAAGGGATGCGCCAGAAACTGGAAACAAAAGGCTCGGAGTCCGCGTCTCCGGCCGAGGGCTTAATATAATCGGCCAACTAAACAATATTACACGACGAAAAGGAAGCAATATTCGAAAGGAATAACCTCATCTGGTTTCCTCGCCCGCGGTAAACTTTCCGTCATCTGGACGCGAGGGCCNGGGGGGGGGGGGGGGGGGGGGGGTGAGAGGGTGGAAGGAGATTACGAGCGATGCGCTCGACAGGAAGGAAAAAAAGACGGAGAAGAAGAATAAAACGAGAAAGAGAGATGGAAGTGAACAACGCGGCGGGGGCTTCGAGGAAAAGCGTGCGAGCTTGTACAAGAGTATTTTTACGGCAGAAACAAAAAAGGGAAGAAAATAAATAAAAAAAACACGGATCTCATGCTGCGCTGTGTTGTCGGTTCGAGGGGGTTTCAGGCGTGACGTCACTGGATTCAAGCAACGCACGACGGCGTCAGAAGATTCTCTAACGATGTTAGATAGACTAGCAGGTAGACAATGTAGACATGCTCCAAGATTTTTCAAAATAATACAAATCGTCGTTAGGAGCCGTCCCTAAATTGGACGTATTTATAACAAAAGGAACTACGTCCATAGGGTTTGCGAGTAACATAGTACCTTTTAGCATAAATACGTCCAATTACGTAACGGTCTGGAGAGGGGGCGAGGAGAGCGTTACGCCATTTTGTTTTCACGAGTTAATACGCCACAGAAGCGTTACAAGGGGGAGGAGGGTCAAGAAGGCCGAAAAAGTGCGTTAAGTATAAGAAGGGACGGCCCCTTATCGTTAAAGACCTTTTCTAAGTTGAGCAGATGCAAGCACATTTTTAGCTAGAATTACCGATGCTAAAAAGGAAACTTCGAAGAATGGACTTTAGATCAGATAAAACTTTGGAGTCTTCGGAATCTAAGGTGTGTAAACTTTGAAAATTGATTGTATCAGGAAAAAATCACTATAATTGTTCCCGGGCGGAAATTACCGTGAGCATTGTCGCTGATATTCCTTCTTCGAAAAATATCAAGAACTCTACACATCTTAGAAGAAAATACAAAAAGAGAACACCTATAAGCAATTTATCTATTTCTATCTGCGGTAGTGATGATACCCTCCTTCGTTATCAATGAATAAATTCAATTTTTAGTAATGAATCCATCTGCTTTTAATTTCATAAGCACTGTTGAGCATTTTTGAAATTTTTAGATTTTTAATTCATAAGAACTTTGGAAGTTTTAAATACTAAAGATGATAAAGATATATTTTACAATAAAAAAAAATAAATATAATCTCTGTAACTTTACATGCTCGAAAGGGTAAGAATTATGTATGAAATCTATTCTATTCAACATATTTTTATCGCTTGCATTGTCATTCTAGAGTCGAATTTCAAACCTTCAGGGGTGCCTGAATATCAGACCTACCCAACGAAATCGATGATACGTTCGCTCAGGAAAAAGCCACAACATACTTTCTTCAGGCGCAAATTACCATGAGCATCATAGCTAATGTTATCATCCTTGAGCCATTTTAAAAAAAACGGCGGTAGTTTGTGATTCTCTTACAGAATACTTCGATTCGACCGTGCTCTACCGACAATACTACTTTTTTGACTGTTCATTAGCTCAGGGAAAAGTCACAACATAGTGTTTTCAGGCGCAAATTACCAAAAGCATCATTGCTAATGTCGTCAGTCTTGAGTCATATTGATAACCTTTGGGATTGTCTAACTGTCAACCTTACATGTTCATGTCTTGCGATTCCTGCAATTCCTACCCACCTATTACCTCACACCTTTGTCGATACGTTAGCTCAGGAAAACATCACTACATAGTGTTTTCAGGCGCAAATTACCATGAGCATCATTGCTAATCTCATCATCCTTGAGTCATGTTTAAACCTGCGGTGGTTTTTAATTGTCATACTGGTTACTTCGATTCGACCGTACTCTACCAACAATACAATTTTAGACTGAAAGTTAGCTCAGGAAAAAATCACAACATGCTGTTTTCAGGCGCAAATTACCAAAAGCATCATTGCTAATGTTGTCAGTCTTGAGTCATATTTTATAACCTTTGGAATTGAATCGTTGTCAACGGAATCACGTCGATCGTTTCACATTTTTATTTTTCGATCGAATCAACACTCTCCTTTCTTTAATACTCCAACGATGGAATTCCTCTGGCAACGCCAACGCTGCACCGCACAGTGGATCGAGTCGATGGGAGAGGTCGGGCCTGAGTTTTTGGACTTAAACTACAAATTTTGATATTTACTTTGTCAAATTTCCAATTATAAGGAGTCCTTCAAACAACAAATCTTACACGTAAACCAATGAAACCACTTTCAAAATCTTGAAGTATTGTGATAACGGAGTTGAGCTTTTAAAGTTTCCAGAATTTACCCGACTTTTGACTATTGATTTGCTCCATTTGCGCCGTCGCAAGCTCCCGACAGTCGAACTTGCAACGTGCGGAACTGAAAGGCGCGTGAAAAAGGAGAAGAAAAGCCGGCGGGCGCGGCGAAGCCGCGCAGTGGGAAAAATTAAAAAAAAAAAAGAAGAAGAAAAGAGAGATATTCGGACCGACGCGACTCGACTCGAACCGCCACCGTCGTTTTCCCTGGGAAATAGAGAAAAGAAAAAAAGGAAAAGAAGAAAAAAACGTGAGGCAGCGATGGCTTTGTGACGGGGAATCAAATAAACTCGCAACAAATTGCGGAATCGGTGACGAGTGCCCTGCCTCGTCGAGAACACCCATTAAAGCTCTGTTACTCCGACTTTCAGGATGAAACATCGACGCTCCCTCACTCGGATCCCGAGACGGGTGGGACGGGCGACGCCTTTAGTGATCGATTATCGATATTTCCCCATTTGAAGATGTAGTAAAGAATCGATGATGGTGTACCCTGTTTGTCGATCCTTTTCCATAGGGTTAAATGGCAGATCAATGGAATTTTGGGTCTTTGCTAGGACTTTCTATGTTAATTCAGCTTTGAACGGGACTATTTCTAACTTTTCATTATGCAGCCAATGTAAGGGTTGCTTTTGATAGAGTAGCATCGCGACGCTCGCTCGCACACGTCCCCGCCGATCAATGTAACTTAATGGTCGGAATGGACCACAAGACAAGGTACGAATTTAAGCATTCTGATATACATGTAGCTAAACCAGAATTTCACGTAGAAAACGATTCGCGCAACGAAAATTACTGAAACCAACTCCTAACAGAGATATTAACATTTTTATTTTACATTGATAACGAGGAAGTTGAACTGCCTGCTCACAAGAAACTCAAAGCTCTAAGTGAGTCAAATCGCATACTACAACGGTTTCAGCAAGCTTCTCAATCGAGCAATGTTCATTTCCCACCATGTGTTTTTCAAACTATAAGTAATTTGCTATAGCTGAGCCAAAGTGTCAAGCTTGAGGTTGCCAGTTCCTCATATCGCAGAGACTGTCATGATAACGTTTATCGCGCGATGTGAATCACGTAGAGCATTGAGTTTTCATGAGCGGGTGGTTTGAATTCACGCACCGAGAATCATTAAATATCTTCGGAAGGAGTTGATTTCGGTAATTTTCGTTGTGCGCATCGTGTTTTACGTGAAATTTTGGTTAAGAAACATGTACCAGAATGCTGAAATTCGTACCTTGTCTAGTGGTCCATTTGTTCGAGAATCAAGAGACAATCAACCTTACGCGGGCAGGGGCTCCAAAATCACTAAAAGGGAACGGTAAAAGGGAAAAGTTGATTCTCCTTTTCGCTAAGGCATAGGTGAAAATTATTTCCTGGCGCAGGACAGTGGCGTGGCGTGAATAATCGATTATCGATATCTCGCCATTTGAAGCTATGGTAAAGAATCGATTACTAAGGTGTTTGCTGCGAACATCCTGATAATCGATCTTTTTCATAGGTTTAAATGGCATAACAATCGATATATCGCAATTCACGCCACGCCACTGGCGCAGGATCGATGGTTCGCTGGTCACAGAATCGTGTTTTGATTCTTAATTCTTGTGGATTAGCAAAAGATAATAAGATCTGTCCAAACCGCAACTTTTTACGTTCAATATTAACCGAGATATCGCCCATTGAAAAGTCGGGTTTTTGACGTCATCCACCGCAGTAGTAACATCCTTGGTTTCTTCCACCGGGCTTTCATGCAAGTTTCACGTAGCGCCACCAGTGCGTCACTGACTGATGAAAGCAAGGTGGACGAAATGAAGGGTGTCACTTAAAGGGCGATAACTCGGTAATTATTCAACGTTGGAAGTTGCGGTTCAGCTAATTTCCAAGAATCAAGCATCAAAACACGATTCTGTGACCAGCGCAACTGACCCATTCTCCAATACCGGATTTCCTACGCATTTGGACATTAGGGCACTGAGGATGAATTTTAATACTGAAACCGCTCGATAGCCAATAGTTTGCATTCCTCGTGATATTGCGAAATTTTTCTTCGCAATTTCTGGTGCTGAGATTTCCGGTATTTTTGAGAATTTTCTCCGACTTCCGGGTGGTTTACATGCATTTTTCTATTTTTCCCCTGGTAAAAATTGGCCGTAGAATCTGTGTTCAAAAATACCATAGACCTAAGGCCGGCTGTAGGATTTCCAATAGCTTCTATAGCCGGCTGTACAATTTCTTTTAGCCTTTTATAGCCGATGACGATTAAGCAACAGCCAGACAATAAATTTTATGCTAAACGTTACGAAATACGGATACTAGGACTTGGTTACTTTTTGGACTACCGCTCTCTTTTTGTGCCGTAGTATCTTGATTTATTTTGCGAGGAAAGCTCCGTACTTTTGGAGGATGCCTGTCATTCTTAATATGTTGGAGCGCCTTCAATTTCTTATGATACTGTGCAATACATCTGGTGTGAAATAGTTGCTTCAGACGCCGTGGCACGCTGCGGCGCGGCGGGCGGGCAGAGAGCGCAAAATGCGCATTGGCGCCTTCAAACCTAACAGGGATACTCCACGCATTGCGCAATGCGTGAAGTATCCTTGTTAGGTTTGTAGGCGCCAGTGCGTCGCCGCTCCGCTCCGCTTTAATATTTAATCTCGCGGAGTCAG